GGGTTACACCAGCATAAGAATGAAGCTAAAAGGTATGGCATGAGACAAACAAAAAAATAAGTTTACAGTCATGCATTTAGCTTTTTAAAAGAATTATTTTTGTAATTAATGGTATGACAATGTAAACCAATATGATAAAAAAAAAAACTAATGGTTTCCTTCCCAGTTGACTGACTATATTAAAAATTGCTAACTTTTTGTATTGCAAGTTTTTTGCACGTTAAAACGTGAAATAATGCACATTTGCGTACATTTATAGCACAAAAATCTGAACACTGGATAAAGTGTGGTTTAGGTTTTTAGAGAGATGTTCTCATGTATTTATATTTATTACTCTATAAGAATAAAAGAAATTAAAAATAAAAAAGAAATTACACATTTCACATTTTTGGTAGAATATAATAATGTAAATAAATAAATGTGAATAATCACAATTATACATGAATAAATTTGTTGGTAAAAACTTTCATATTAGTAATCTGAAAAAATATCAGACATGAAAACTGATATATGTTGCTAAAAGATGTACACTCATTGGCCACTTTATTAGGTACACCCGGAGGCATCAGAATGGGGACGAAAGATGATTTATTTGAATTTGAACGTGGTATGGTTGTTGGTATTTCAGTATTTCAGAAACTGCTGATCTACTGAGATTTTCACGCACAACCATTTCTAGGGTTTACAGAGAATGGTCAGAAAAAGAGAAAATATCCAGTCCATCCCTTTATGACCACTGTGTATCCATCTTTTGAAGGCTACATCCAGCAGGATAACGCATCATGCCATAAATGGCGAATCATTTGAGACTGGTTTCTTGAACATGACAATGAGTTCACTGTACTCAAATGTCCTCCACAGTCACCAGATCTCAATCCAATACAGCACCTTTGGGATGAGGTAGAATGGGAGATTGGCATCATAGATGTGCAGCTAACAAATCTGCAGCAACTGCATGATGTTATCATGTCAATATGGACCAAAATCTCTGAGAAATATTTCCAGTATCTTGTTGAATCTGTGCCACAAAGGATTTAGGCAGTTCTGAAGCCAAAAGGGGGTCCAAACCGGTATTAGTAAGGTGTACCTAATAATGTGGCTGGAGAGTGAATAGCTTAGTGCAATTGTAAAGTGTTTTCTGGATGCTTTATTTGCATTAAACTGAAAAAGCCTTTTAAAAGCCAAAATATTATAAGAAAAAGACGCATGAGAAAAGGCGTGTTGCGGTATCTCATCTTAAAGGGATAATTCACTCAAAACTGAAAACTTGTTATTATTTACTCACCCTTCACTGATCTCAAACCAGTTTGAATACATAAGAAGATATTTCAGACAAACCTGGAAACTTGTAACCATTGACTTCTATAGCACTAGTATTTCCTACTATGGAAGTCAATGATTACCAGTTTTCAGTTTTCGGCTTTTAAAATTTTCGTCTTTTAATTAAAAAGAAAGAAACTCAAAAGGTTTGAAACCAATTAAGGGTGAGTAAATAGTGATCAAAATTCATTTTGGGGTAAACCCCCTTAAGTCACCATAAGCCAAATTTTAATTGTTTTAAACCACAGGGTTGATTTGTAGTAATCACGCAAAAACGCTCTAAAATTGCATTTGGCATTCAGAACTGTGTAGAAAAAATAAAAGTAACTTTAACTGTTCCCAGACAAATAAGGCACTTTAACTGTATTCATTCAACATATAAACTTAACTGTGAGTGTGCATTTAATTTTTAACTGTATTTCTGTGAATCTGCAGGTCACTTACAAGGTCCACTGCACACTAAAACAATAAACGACACAATTTAAATCTAGAACATTGATCAAACAAGAAAGTCTGTGCATGGTTAAAAGAAAGGTTAGCTGCCAGGAAGTGGTTTCAAACTGTCATTTCTACAAATATCACTCAGCTCAAAATAACCAAAAGATGTGCCTCTTGTCATACGAAGACGTTTTATACAGTATTATGTCTCTTTAACCAGACTGAATTCACCGCATGTTAAAGATTGTGCATAGAAAGCAATTAGGGTTCAATATGCACCACCATCAGACACATTCTCCTTTCATATCAGACATGTTTTTATTTTGAAACACGGTAGAAGAAGTGTCAGACTGCTGGTTTACATTCGCTAAAAGGTTACAGAATAGTGTGGGTGATGACATTTAAACCAGACTTTCTCTGAACGCGTTTACTAATTACAGTCATTTTAGAAAAAGGTTGTCATCTGCACAGTGTGCCAAAAAAAGAAAACAATCACAGAGGACATTTTCCGATGACGTGGTATGCTTTGCAAGAATGTAATTTTTCAATGTTTAGCCACCAAATATAAAACTAAAGACTCGATTATTTAGATGATCAAGAAAAATGTTACTTTAGTCCTTGCAGTTATTTTATAGACAATATTTAGTCAAATAAATGATATCTTTGAAACTGATTATGACAAAACCAACAAGTCACACGCTTTATTTCTCAATATTCTGTTTGGGTCAGTGCTCTGACAATATTTAGGCCGGATGTAATTTTGCATGCAGTCTTAAATTGCACCTCACCATTAACAAAATCCCATGAGATTTATTTTGTGGGACACTTATTTTTGTCATTTGCAATCACATATACGTACTTGATCAAAAAACAACACAAATTAAAAGCACAATCTAAATAATAATAACAATACTAACAATAATAATAATAATTATAATAATAATAATAATAACATATTATGATGTCTTAAAATAAGGATTACAAAAAAATCCTAATTTTTGCAGTAATAAGAACAATCTAATAAGTAATAAGTGAAGTTCTTAAAATAACATTTCATAGGTTAGCATATTCACATTTTTTATCGAAATAACCCTTTTCAAGTTTAAAGAACTTTAAGGAAATGGAATGATGCATGGACATCAAGGGTTCTTCCTGATAAAGAATCTTAAGAGTTTTAAGAGTGCAAGTAAATAATAAATATCCTCCTACCTGAGCAGGCTGAGCGCAGTCTGGTCAATATTCTGGACCTGAAAGCCGAAGTGTCACTTAAAGAACGAACTCGAAACACAGGAAACACCTGTGGAAATGTCTTTAGGTATGAAAAGCTGTCTGCCTCAGCCATTCCGTTTGGATGTTGGTACTTTTATTTCTTGAAATAATTCGCTAAATTCGAATCGTTCAAATGTGCTGTCAAGATAAAATCTGACTCAAAATTCAGACAGAGCAGACGAGCTTTACTCGCCTTAGACAGTAGTGGGTAACTGTTCACCTGTTTAACAGAACTTTTAAAAACTTATTTTAAAAAGACAAAGTCGACTATTTCTTTCTCTTCCTCTCTCATAAGAAGTTTTGCGTGTCGTTCTTCAGCAAATGATCCGTGTCTTACATCAGTAAATGAGCCAGAAGCGGAAACACGTCCATCAAAAAGATACTGATCTACAATGCGTTTTATCCGGTGGAAGACTGAGGTCACGGCAGCTCTAAGCTGCATTTCTGAGTCATCCCTGTGGGCGGCAGTGTGGACTTTTAGAATTTCTGAAAACAACAACAGGTAGCAGTTCACCCCCTCCAAAAAATAATTTGCCGTTAATTTACTAACCTGGTTAAGCTGTAAAATGCACTTCACTTCAATGTGAATATTTATAATTATTACTAGAAAAAGATTACGTAGGCTAAGTTACTCGTGTCAAATTCAAAAGAAATTAGTTATTTGAAATTATTTACTAAAACTATAAAAAAAAGTATTTAAAAGGTGTGTGTGTGTGTGTGTGTGTGTGTGTGTGTGTGTGTGTGTGTGTGTGTGTGTGTGTGTGTGTGTGTGTGTTTATTCTAATAGAGATAATATATAAGATAAGTGTTTAGTTTCTAAAAAGTCTGTACCATCTGATCATTTATTATATAGTCACCTTTGGATTTATAAGGTTCTATCTGTGTTCTGAATGATTTTGAGACATTGAGCTTCAAAGTTTTTGCATTTCATATAGCAAACAGTATGTGTGTAACTATTGTTTTTTTGAAGTAAAAAGTTTTAAAATGTAAACAACTTATAAAAAACATACCATAATGTAAATAAGTTGTCATTTGATAATAAGAATGTCAATAACTCAATTTTGACAAAAATGTCAGATAGAACCTTTTGCGGTATGCATGATTTTATTTCTCTTGCTGCATCACATAAACAGCCGTCAGTGACAGAGAAAACAGTGAAGCGAATGAAGCAGATATTCAGTTTAAAACATCAAGTAAGCTTATTTGATGTATTTGTTGTGTTTATGAATTACATGATGATTGTATCGTCTTTTCTTTAAATTGTTTTACAAATTTAAAATGTTTTTAAAACTTATTCTTGAGGTGCAGCTGATCACAGACATTTTGAACAGATCTTAAAAATTTAACAAATCCTAGTATGTGGACATGTTAATACATTCCTGTCAATCAATTCGGAGAGTGTATATGTTTCCTAGTGCTGGGTTGTGACTGGAAGAGTATCCACTGTATAAAACATATGCCAGAATAGTTGTCGGTTCATTGCACTGTGGTGATCCCTGATAATTAAGGGACTAAGCTGAAGAAAAACAACAGCAGTATTTGCCAAACTCTAGTGAGCTAGAAAAGGCTCTCAGCGAGTAAGATCTAAGAACCATAAAGAAGTGTTGGGGAAAATTTCAAAATTGGGGTCATCTTGTAAAACACTATTAAGAAATATATATAACAATAATAAATAGTTTAAGGTACAAGGAAACTTTTTGGTCAGTTTTCATATAGGTTATGACTCATGCGGTTTCCTGTTTATCATCTTGTTCTTTCTCTCCACCGATCAGCCTGACATCATGCTGTAGGTAAACATGGTAGTGCGGGGTCGTGCTCTCCTTTGACGGAACTGTTTATCAACACACAGAAGCCGGTTTGAAGCTGAACAACACTGAGGAAATCTGAATGTCCCAATATCATGTTAATGTGTAACCAAAGAGAGCATCATCCAATATATGTTATTTAAATACAGTCCAGACCCTCAGTCCACCACAGTCCAGCTCTAGAATCAGCAAAGCATCTGAAGGTAAACAGGAGCTCTGTCTTTTTATCTTTTTTCACACTTTATGACCGATTATCTACATTCATGTTAAGAGTAACCGTTTAATGATACTGATAAGCCTTTTGGCTGAGTTAAATTATGTTTCAGAGAGATAATTGATCCACATGTATTACTGCATTAAGTTTTCCTCTGGGACTTTGGAGTGTCGTTTTAGCACTGATTATAATTACAATTAAATAAAAATGTTTAAAAGAATATTTTTGTACTTTTTATTTTTATTTTTAGGGTTCCCACAAGTTATAGAACTTTTGAAATACTATTGAATTGTAAATGGTCTTTTCCAGACATTGAAAGTTAGGAACGCATAAAAAAAAAACAAATAAATAAATAAATAAACATTATTTAATAAATTTTACATATATATATATATATATATATATATATATATATATATATATATATATATAAAATTATAGAATATTTATAGAAAAAAAGTCATTTATTTGTCATTTTAAATGTTCATTTTTAATTTGAAATGTATACTTTTTTCTATACTATTCCCTTTTTACTGCATGCTTTGCCTTTTGTTATAGTTGCCTAGTTTTCTGTGCTGTTATATTCCTTTACAACTTTCTCCCAATATAGGTCATCCTGAACTTATCTGAAAGCCTCTGAAAGTCAGGGAATTTGACATTTGGTTTAGAGTGCGAACCCTGTACTATTAATTTTAAAAGCAGTGTGTTGTTTTATATTGTTTTATCTTTAACACTTCGATTGTCAGAATAATTTGAGGAACAAGGTTACAAAAAAAAGCCTTTTTATTTGAAATAAAAAATATTCTGCAACACAAACGTCTGTCACTTTTGACAATAAAATTTGACAAATGAATCAGCTTAATGAATTATTGTTATATTTGAATGTATTTTAAGTTATCATTTGATATAGTTTTAAACTTTTTTTAAGTTTATTAATAATTATACATATATTATAAATATATTCATTATTGTTTTAATATTTATAAGATGATTTAATATTTTATTTCATTTATTTTTTTTTATTATGATTAAATATCTTCAAAATAATTTTAACTAGTTATTTTATTTATTATTATAACTATTTTTGATGAAAAAGCTGAATTTTGTGCAGAAGCACAGTGTCAAGGGATTTTAAAAATAAAGCACTTAAAGATAAAAAATAAAGCACTTTATTTAACTTTGTTTAAAGAAATGTTTCATATATGATATATATTAGGCTTAGGCTATTGTGTTTACAGAATGTTTATCTAAGATTTGCATACAGTAAAAATTAGAATGTGCTCACTACAAACTTTTTTTATCCGATTCGTGTTCTTGTTTTGGGGTTATTGACCTTAAATGGGTCAGTACAGAGACCTCAGAAGTATGAGCCACTGGTCAATTAATTCTGTGAAAAACGGGGGTGGAAAAAGCAAAGACGGATCAGCTATAGACTGCCCTCTTTTGGCTTTAAAATGCACATTAAGTTTTTTTTTTTTTTTGCATATTAAGTTTCTTATAATTCCGCTATTCATCATCATTCATTATACAAACAGGGGTCTCGCGGATTACCCGACAAGATGAAGATGTTCCTCGCTTTCTTATTTCTCTCCTGCTTTGCAATGGCAAGAACCAATCGAGTGTATGTCCACCCATTCAACCTCTTCAGCTCTGAAAACATCAGCTGTGAGGTGATCCAGAGTGAAGAGCACAAGCCGCTGGAGACCGTTCATCCTCTACCTCCTCTTCCAGGCAGCACAGATCCAGACCCACGGACGGCCAGTGCAGCCGAGAGCCTAAAGAACCTCACTCAGCGCACTGCCGTGCTTGCAGAGCTCCAGAACTCACTGGGTTTGCGCATGTACCAGACGCTCAGTCGCACACAGAAACACACCAATACGCTTCTGTCACCGTTAAACGCATTCGGTGCATTGGTGACCCTCTATTTGGGAGCTTCCAAAAAAACGGCCATTTCATACCAGCAGCTGTTAGGACTCAATCTGGAGTCTGAACAGACAGATTGCGCTTATTTTGTTGACGGACACACAGTTTTACGCACGCTTCAGGCCATCAGTGCACATGTTGACGAGTCCCGAAAAGAGCTCAGGACCCTCGTGTGGACTTTTGTTAACAGCGATGCAGATCTTTCCAAAGAGTTTCTGCGTGGGACTCAAGATTTCTCGGATGATTCTTTTGTTCGATCGGTGGATTTCTCCCAGGCAAAGGATGCAGAAGTGGAGGTCAATAACTTCATCCAGAAAACCTCTGACAACAAAGTGAAGAGCATGTTTAAGGGCGTAACTCCAAAGACTGACCTTCTGTTTGCTAGTTCAGTGCATTTCAAAGGTGAGTGGTTTTGTTGTTTATTTAAACAGGCATCAAAGTTAATCAGACTTGATAACAATGTGATACATTTAATTGTCTATGATGTTTCCTTTTTTATTTATATATTTACATGACTCTGGAGCAAAAAAAGTATTTTTTCTTTTCTATTTTTTTTTTTTTTTTTGGTAAGGTTATACGAACAACTCAATGACTTGGCCCAAATTAACTCAGTGCACATATAGTACACAAATCATAAGAATCACCTATTTTGGTGACATGGACAATTCTTTTTGGTTACACACAACAGCTTTATGTTGGTACTTTTAGAGTAACAGAACAGAACAAATTATAGTAAATATGCTCATGTTGAAACTTCTGAAATAAAAAAAAACATTTCCATTTAAAAAATTTTTATTATATAACCTATATTATTCATATTAATTGTTATTATAAGCAATTTTTGTTTCAAAAAATTAATTTATTCATTTTCCGCTTAGTCCTTTTATTATCAGGGGATGCCGCAGCGGAATGAACCGCCATCTTATCCAGCATAGGTTCTACGATGCAGATACCCTTCCAGCTGCAACCCATCACTGGGAAACACCCATACACTCTTGTATTCACACACATACACCATGGCCAATTTAGCTTATTTAATTCACCTATAGTGCATGTCTTTGGACTGTGGGGGAAACCGGAGCACCTGGAGGAAACCCACGCAAATAAGAGGGAGAACATGCAAACTCGACACAGAAATGCCCACTGACCCAGCCGGGTCTCGATCCAGCGACCTTCCTGCTGTGCTTCTTGCATTCAAACAATTTAATATAGGAAATATTCTCATGGAGGTACAAATGATATTAAATAAAAGTATTGCTCATTTTTGTTTCACAAAAAAAGATTGAAGTCTCATAGGGGCAGTTCTATTGATGTAATGAACACGTCAGGGTGCTGTTGTGTTGACCAATGTAATCCATACACATACAAATAAAACAAAACTAACTACTTTAGAAATTAATTGTGTAATAAAGCGAAACGAGAAGAAAAAAAAGATTAAACACATAAAGAAAAGAAGGTGTAAAAAGGCATGGAAAGCCCAGACTGAAGTGGTATCTTTTTAAAAAGAACAAATTTGTACCTTAAAGGTCCTTAATAATACCCTAAGGGTACATATTAGTATTTAAAAGTACAAAAGTGTTCCTCTTAAAATTTTAGGTACTAATATATACTTTTGAGGTACCAATATGGAAAAAAACTTTTGAAAAGGTACCACCTCAGTGAGAGCTCGCGTACCTTTATTTCTGAGAGTGTAGTAAACAGTGATGACTCTTGTCAGTGTAAATGAATATTAGCTGCTTCAGTGCTAACACCTACATTGCCAAATGATGCCAGCGCTGGAATTTCAGCAAGAAATACAGTCCCAAATACAGCCAGAGAAACTCTCAATGGACCCTTTTCTCCAGCCTGTTATGATTGGTTTAATGGTGATCGCATCTTAAATCCTTTCTAAATCATTCTTAAGTTTTTAATATTTAGATAAAGGAAAAAAAACATATTACCATTTTTATCTATTTATGTATGTAGTTTATCATCTTTGCTTCAAATTACAAAAAACAAATTACCGCTTGTGTGAGGCATTTCTAATGCAGCATCTATGGGACAGGGCAGTCAATTTGACGAATTTCTCTCCTCTGGCTGCCGTTATCATTCTCACACAACACAATTTTTTTTTCTTTTTCTGAAAGTACCATTGTGAAGTTTTCCTTTTATTTTTTAAGCAAATAAGATACAAATTGTAAAAAAAAAAAAGAAGATTTTAATTATTTAAATTAAATAAAAAAGGATTTGTTGTACTCTCCCATTCACTGAGCTCTATGACGACTTCCGCTAACGAGAAACACAAAAATGTAAAAAGGGTCTGTGGGCTTCAGAAAAGAAAACAAAACTGCTATAGAATGGCCCAGCCAATCACCTGATCTGAATTCAATAGAAAATATGAACTAAAGGTCAGAGTTCATAGAAGAGACCCACTAAACAGTCAAGATTTTTAGGCCTTATTGAAGTTGACTATTTACTGAGCAATGCATGCAGCTGCATTCTCTATACACGTCAAGCTGGCATTACAAAAAAAAAAAAATCTTTATACAAAGTATTAAATACATTTCAGTGGTTCAGTACCTTTTCCTTGTGTAATTCCATTGTCATTACACAATGTTAATATTTTACCAGTTTTTGGTTTAGTTTTATCATTGCTTTTGGATTATTTGTTTTTACTAAAATCTGATACAATTTTATGTCAGCAGCTCCTTTAGAAATAATTTTACCAGGAAAAATTATGATGTTTTCAATACTTATTTTATCCATTCCACGGTATATATTTAGTTTTAATCTTACTTTTTGCTCTACATGTAATTGATAAAAATAGGCTGCATTTTTATATATTTTAATACATCCTATTCCAGGTAACTGGAAAACTGCATTTCAACCTGAAGCAACCAGTGACCAGGACTTCTGGACTCAAAAGAACTCCAGTGTTCAAGTGCCCTTCATGATGCACACTGGAGACTACAAATACCTGGATGATGCTGGCAGAAAGTGCTCAATAGTCAGACTGGGTCTCAGCAAGAGGACGTTCATGTTGCTGGTGCTGCCTCATGAGGGAGCCAGTCTACAGGACATCGAGAAGCCGCTCCTCACAGTCATTCCTACATGGCTTCGACACCTCAAGGAAAAGTGAGAACATTTTTGATCTGAGAAAATGACAAATAAGATCACAAATTTGCTTATCTTTTTGTGTTGTATCTCTCGGCAGATATCTGGAACTATCTTTGCCCAAATTCTCCTTGACTGCTGTGACTGATCTGAGATCGGTGCTATCAGAAATGGCAGTGGAGAAATACCTCATGGGCTCTGATGCCAGTTTTAGAAGAATGAGCAGCAAGGAGAACTTCACTGTTGATAAGGTAACATTTAGCTCAGAGCTACAGTTTTAAACCCAATTAAATATATAGAAGACTGTTTTCACCACAGATTAAAAATAATAAAAGTTAATTGCAGATGTTTTATTTAGAATTGCATATTATTATTTCCGACTTTTATTCCATCTTACAATATTGTATTTTTCTGTATTTCTCCATGTCTCAGTTTAGAACTTTTTTTTTTACGTTTACGTCTCACAATTCAAACATTTCTTCATAGAATTTACAAATTTTTTTACATCTAATGACTCTGACTTTTTTTTTCTCAAAAAAAATCTCAATTATCACACAATTTTGACTTTTTTTCCTTCTCAGATTTTGGACTACATTTGAGTAATTCTCAATTTTCTTCTCAGATTTTGAAATTGACATTTTGTAATTCTCAATTTTTATATTAGATTTTCGGAGTTTACATTTTGTAATTCTCAATTTTTCATTAGATTTTGGAGTTTACATTTTGTAATTCTTAATTTTTTCTCTGATTTAGGAATTTACATTTTATAATTCCTGATTTTTTTCTTACATTTTCGAGTTTACATTTTGTAATTCTCAATTTTGTTCTTAGATTTTGGAGTTTACATTTTGTAGTTCTCTTTTTTTTTTCTCTGATTTTGGAGTTTGCATTTTGTAATTCTCGATTATCTTCTCAGAATTTAGAGTTTACATTTAGCAATTTTTGACTTTTCAAGATTTTTTTTTCCCATCTAACAATTCAGACATTTATTCGTAGAACTGTTAATCTACATCTTTCAATTAGGAATTTTTTCATCCAGGTTTATTGTCTACATCTCGCCTGTACAGTATGTTTTTTCTTCTCATAATTATTTCTCACAAATTCAACTAAGAATTGTCAATCACATCTTCTGATTGACATTCTCTACATTTTCTAAGAATTCTAAGATTATATACAGTGCATAGTATACACAAGTACACTCCTCACAAATCTCTCTTTTAAATTCATATTTTTAATAAGCTTTACAATATTATATTTGTGCATATACATTAGATTAGTCTGTACTGAAGCTAAATCTGGAGTTTATCTAACAAAATAACGATACGATAACGGTTCAAAAACTAGTACAGCCAAATTTATGTTATAGAAAAATATTAAATACAAATTTTAAAAAAAGAGGAAAAATCAAGAGAAGCAAAAAAAATTGTATGTTTAGTCTAAATTTTGTAGTAATTTATTTTGCTTGAGTTTAATTGTATTATCTTTCAATTTCTAAATGTTTGGAGACTAACATATCATTTTAATAAATATATCTGTTTAATAAATCTATTTTCGTTTAAATGCAGCAAAATACATTGCCTGTTCACTGAGAAATGGATAAAAATATAAATTTTCAAAACATGGAGTTTGTTTACACATAAAAAAAAATTTTAAAACCTAAAAATGCAATTGCAACTTGTTATTTCAATTAAAAATATATATATTTTTACCCTCACAACTCCAAACACAAGAAAATATCAAAATTGTCAACTCTGAAATATATAATTTTGAAAAAAAAAAAAAGTATTTTAACTTTCTTAAAGAATTGTGAGGTAAAAAGTTAAAACAAAGAGCATCAGGATGTGGCTTTAACCAGTTCTGACCATTAACTTTTTTTTTTTACTTTACAATTAACATGGTTTCCACCAGTAATCTTTATGCTGTGTACCTGTTTATATCTCACAGGTACTCAACAAGGTGGTGTTTGAGATGACGGAGGGCGGATCAGAGGTTCAGAACAGAACTGATGATGGCAGAGCTCCTCACAAAGTCACGTTCAATCGGCCATTCTTCTTTGCTGTTGTAGAGGGAAACTCAAATGCCATATTAATGCTCGGCAAAATCATCAACCCAACAGCCTAAAAACATGATCGCAGTTTTGATGATGACTTTATAAGAAAATATATGCCTACATTTATCTATCTGTATAGTAAATCAATGGACAGCATTAAGACCAGGTCAACCGGTGATATGTTTGTTTAGACAAGCTTAATTAAACTAGTCTTTATTCAGATGTTTTATGTATCTGCTAATTTCAAACTACTGTAAATAAAAGTAACTGTACAAAGTAAAATATGTAATAAAACTGACTAAATAACCCAAATACTTTATAATAAGTAATGGATCATATAAAAACACATGAGCAACTGCTTTAAAAAGACACAATTTTATGTAACTGTATATCAGCAACATCTAAATTTCAACACAGTTCCAGTTTAAGGGGTTGCTGACCTTTCCTAAATGTTGGTCAAGGATATTTTAGTAACAGATTAACTTTAGACACACAATCACTGAAATCTCATACTATCCTCCGATTTTATTGTTAAATCCTTTTTTGAAACACAAACTCCATCCCAAATTTGATATTTAGAAAAGACAAAGAAAAATAACCATTTGACTATAAACCTCTTCAGTGTTTGCACTCTATTTGGCAGGGTTCACCAGAGCTGATGTCTGAGCAGAAGACTTTCTGACAGACACAACACAAGTCAAACACCTGTGTTGTGTGCTGTTTTTTTTCTGATGTAACCACATATGACAGGACACAACAGCTCTTAGCACTTTATACGCTGAGTGCTGATTGGCTCATACAACAAACTCTATTCATTTCTGCGATCATTTCGAACCATAAATATGACATTTCCGGTCTTATTATCCCATTACAGTTCAACAATAAATAACTTATCTGAGAGTAAATCACATTCTTTTAGTGTATTCCTTCTCCAGAAAGACTGAGCTGCTAGTAGAACAGTTGAGGGATGGCAGGACTCCATAAAACCGTTCCTGAGCCATATTTTCTTAATCTTTCTGAGCATATGGATGCTGAAGGCATTCGATCAGGAATCATTTTGGACCCTACTTTTTGATCTGGCTCCTTCGAGGGGCATTTGGATTTTAGGAACCCATCTGCTCAGTTGAAGCGAGATCTCTTGCCTCCTGTACCAGCTCCAGCAGAGAGGAGAACATGGTGATGTCACTTGGCTGAAGACCCATATTCTCAATCTTGAGGGGGAATAAAAGAGAGCAATGTATAAATAGATGGGTAAAGTTTGTGAAGAAGCATTAAAGGTGGTTTGAGTCTGACAATTCTAAGTAGTTCTAAAAGCTTTAAGTTTAAAGGTCATACTTCAGATAGACCGATATGTTGGTTGCTAGGCTGAGATAATCTGGCTTGTTTCTAGGAAACAGCAGTTAAATAGGTACATTTAGGCTGCATTTATTCTGCACGGTTCAAGTGACTCTATTTTTTTCCCCGTCATGCATCACAGAACAGATATGGACTATGTAAGTGTAAGCAGGAAAAAAAAATCCCATGGATTTCGATTGACTTAAATCAGATTCAGGCCTTGTTCATATGTGGAAATTTATCCGATATTAATTAGATCTGTGCCCTCGTGCCTGTAGTGTAAGCAGGTAGATCAGGTTTTTTTTGACCTGACAATGCGAGTTGCATATCATTAAAAACTGTAGTGAATGACCTCAACTCTGACGGTTTTGTTTCAGAACAGATTCCAGAATCTTAAATCTTATATACGGGGACTAAAAAAGCTTTCATATTGTTATGTAGCACACGTATTTAAGCATGTTAATGAGACAGAGAGAGAGAGAGAGAGAGAGAGAGAGAGAGAGAGAGAGGGAGAGAGCAATATCCACCATGTAACCAATATAAACTAATATAAAACTGCTGCATAAATTACGTCATGGACATTACATTAAAATGCCTGCTGTTTTAAAAAGGCCTAGATTAAAAGAAGATGGCAAAATGAGAACTTTTCTGTCATAAACTATAGTAAAACAACTTGTCAAAAAGAATTAAATACATGAACAGAGAAAAGGGCACTCTTTTATTATCAGCTGTCTGTCAGCGCCCGCTCTTTTTCAAGCTCTTTTTTCGTGGCTATCGGATAATAGCCACTTTTAAAACATAATGTAAGCTAGGCTTCAAAAAGTAAAATAAAAACGGATACAGTAACAAAATCAGAACTGACCATCAAGATCTGCAGCGGAAATGCAGCCTTATATAGACTAGGCAGGCATGATGTTGTTAGGGGATTTGGGACATTTTTTAGCGGGTTATGTGTTGCTCTGGGAATTTGGGTGGTTGCTAGGGTGCTGCTCTGGTAATTGGGTTGTTTCTAGGGGGCAGATAGGCAGATTGGTTTCAATAGACAAACATGGGGTTGGTTAAGTATACAAGGTTTGAAAATGCTATGATGTTCCTGGAATGTTGCTATATGGCATCTCGTATATTCTAGATTACGATTGTCAAACTCAACTCCTGAAGGGCCGCAGCTCTGCATGGTTTAGCTTTAACCACCTCTAACTCACAACTGATTAATAGTCTCTAGTAGTCTTGAACAGCTTAATTAGTTAGATCAGCTGTATTTGATTAGGGTTAGAGGAAAAACGTTGGAATCGAGTTTGAGACCTATGATCTAGATCAGGGTTATCCAAAAACGGGTCTTTGAGGGCCAGTGTCCTGCTGAGTTTAGCTCCAACTTGCTTCAACACACCTGCTAGGAAGTTTCTAATGGATGTTTCTCAATTCCAAGAATACAGAGAACGGACTTGTGTTCTTGTAGAGGGCGGTCTTGCCAAGTTACCTCGGAAGACACACGTCCTCCGTACTTGCGGTCTTGAGTTTTGGATGTGAACTTTGGCAGTTGATGATGACATTACACAAGAACACAAGGACACAAGAACAAATGTTGAGAAACAACCCGTATATCTAGTAAGTGTGTGATTAGCTGGTTCAGGTGTGTTTGATTAGGGTTGGAGCTAAACTCTCCAGAACACCGACCCTTCAGGACCGAGTTTGGACACCCCTGTTGCAGATGGTTGCCTCGTGACACTAGTGGCATCTAGTGGATGTTTTCCAAATAGCAACAGAGTGTCGCTTTTTGGTGATTCTATGCTTTTTGGTAGTATGGTGGGTAATAATTAGGTTGCTATGTGGCATTCATTCTGGATGGTTGTAATGTGTTGCTATGTAGTTGCTCCGGTCGCACATTTACATTTATGCATTGGACACATGCTTTCATCTAAAGCAAAAGGTAATCATTTTATCAGTTCAAACTTTTCTTGAGAATTGAACCTACAACTTTGGCACAAGCACCTTGCTCTACATTATAAGCTACATCTGGGTTGTTTTTAAGAGGTTACTTGTTATGCACAAATAAAATATAAGATATCAAACCTGTTCTCCAAGATACTCCACATCCAGTGCCAGCTGCAGACGGATCTTACTGTCATCTGATGGCCCTGCATTGACCCCAACCGTGCTGGTGGTGGTAGTTTTCCTAGCCTGTTTCAACCTTTTCAGGCTTTCCTCCATCTTCCTCACTGAGCTCAGCACGTCTGATATAGTCTCAAAATATCTATTAAACACAGAGGACATTTTCATTCGTGTTCAATGTAGATATTTTTTCAAAACAAAATTATTAAGCTTGGCACTGTTTTACCGATGGGTGCAGTCTGACAGCGTGACCCGGAGCCACTCCTGGATGATGGAGTCTTTCACCACATTTTTCGAGTCAGTGACCAGCTGATGGAGCGGCCGGAGAGCATTGTCCATGTAGGCCGAGGCTCTAGTGGGCACTTCCTATTAATGAGAGAGCAAACACAGTTAAATCCAGAACACCGGGCATATCTTTCTGTTTTCTGCCAGATTTTTTTAATGGAGTGAATTAGTTTTTCTCATATTGTAATATATATAAAAATGAAATGACGTTTAGATGTAAAATGCAGGTAATTATTGGATGGAGTCAGATTTATCCCTTTAACTGCCCTACCAAGAAAAACAATTTCGGTTTGCATTTCTTAACACCTAATGTCGCTACTTAGCACACTAAATGCATTTTTTTTTATTAAATACCATAAATTCTAACCTCTACCAAATGGTTGACACGTTGGTTTATGGTAAAAGTGCCAGATTTATTACATATACTATGAAAAACCTGAAAATATAAAGTGTAAAATATTCAAAATAAAACAATGAATACTAAATCATATAAGTAAAAATATAGTCAACCATTATAGTTAACCAGGCAGAATGCAATGGGCTAAATGCAAAGTTTGTTGATTGTAAGAAATGGCCAGGGTTTATGTGGACTATATAGTTGGACAAGTGTGGCATACATCACAGAGCATCATAATAGGTTGAATTATACAATTATAAGTTATAAGGTCAAACAAATACTTCAAATACAGCAAAGTCAAATAAATAAGCATTTAGAAAACAAATGGGGTGAATTTTCATTTTATGCCAAGTGTTAGAATTTATTTAAATGTATTTTTTATTATGATAAAATATTCTAAATTCTGCTTTAAATGTTTAAACTGAGCAACTACTTTGAAAAGTCTGTGAACCACATACATATTTATGAGTGAAACAGTCAAACAAATAATTCATAAACATCAAAATAAATCAATAATTTTTTTTTTCTCCCTCCCCAGCCTGTCACAGATGTTGACTCGTTGATTTATTCTGCATGACTTTTAAATAATACATGAGCATATAACCTTGTTGGTCCTTCGATAAAGTCGCGGGACTTCTGAAGCGTTTTTCAGGAAGCGAATGCTCCTTTCTGTGAGATGCTGAGTCATTCTGCTGTTCAGTGTGGGGACGCAGCTGGACAGAGATGTGCTGGAATCCTGCAAGGCTTCTGGAGCATCAAGTAGAAAAACTCATTATATAGGAAGATTAGAAATGGCATCAGAAATTACTTTAAACTTTGACTTAGAATGACTTTAATCAAAAAACAAACCTGAAACTATGGCAAAGTTTTGGAATCCAATATTCTCCAATTTTGCCTTGATCATCTCTGAGATATCTGGAATCTGGGAACAGAGTAAAACATTCTTTACTTTAAAGGTTCAAGACACCCTGGAGTACTTTCTTTGACATTTTTAAAGATTTGTGTGTGCTGAGCAAAACTGGATAATTTTGAGCTTTAATTTCATCTTCTGGCTTTAAAATAATTTTTGAAACGGGATCAAAATCGGTGACGAAGTGCGAATTTGCTAATGGAATGATGTTTCTCATAATTATTTACAGCGGAGTTGTCTTATCCTATGAGAAGACAGTGCTTTATAATTATTC